CTAATCCCAGAGTGACCTGCCGAGCTGTCGGGAGGCCTGCCCAAACGGGTAGAGCAACGAGCCTGGCTGAAATGTCGAAATCGCCTTCAAAAAAAAAACAGCATTGTTCGGTCTGGCAATTTTTTTTCCTCTCTCTTTCTTTCTTCGAAGAAGGTCAACGACCTTTTTTTTAAAAAAAAAAATAACGATCACCCTATTGTAATTGCAGATTTTGGGGCTGGATTCCTCCGGTCTTCGATCTTACGTAACCACGGCAACGCGCCCGGAAGCCGCCGGGTCAGGTGGGCGCTCTTTAGCGGCGGCGCGGACCGGGGGCCGCGGGGGCGCGGAGGGGCTGTTGGCTGTGACTGGGGCGGAGCGGGGCGAGCGCCCTGCTGCGGGCGGAAGTGGGTGCTCGGGGACGCGAGTGAGGATGCGCGGCGGCGCGCGGGGGGGGGGCGGACGCTCCGCGCGCTTGAAGCGGGCAGTCGGGGCGCCGCGCAGCTGCCGGCTGGTGTCGCTGGTTTAGAGACCGGCTCGGACCCGGGACCGTCTCCTCCTCCTCCTCCTTCTCACCGCCCAGGCGCCTAACCATGGACAGACGGCGTGTGGCCGGCCTCACTTTCTGACCGAGCAGCGGGCTCTTGTCGTTTGAGCTGTATTGGCGTTTGAAGCCGCTGCAGCACGGTAATAATCATGTTCCTCCGGCCGTTGTGGGGGATATTCTTGGTCCCCTTCGTTGCTATGCTGTGGGATGGAGCAGCGTCCCAGGTCTCGAGTCCCGGTGAGTGTTGCTTTTGTTTTCTGGCGTCGCTGGGTTTATTTCATTGCAGCAGCTGAGCACAGGCAGCCTGTGCTGATCCAGTGCCTTATTAAACGAAAACACCGGAGGAGATGAAAGCAGCCGAGGCAGAAGACTTTTAATGTGCATTCCTTCTCAATGTACGCTTCCTGACCCTCAGACCCTGGGAAATTGGCACTGAAGAGCTGCCGTGCAGTCCAGGCGTCATTCTTTCAGTTAATAATAATAATAATAATAATAATAATAATAATAATAATAATAATATAGGTGGGGGTTTTAGCGTCATCTGGCAGTATGCATTGCTCAGGGGTAGTTTATGGGTCTTCAGCCTTTTTGTTCACCCCGAGCTCCTTATCTGATGAAGACTTGTCTGATTAAGTGTTGGGCTGCAAAACATCGAGCGCAGCTCCGGGCTGAGCGTTTCAGCGGCTGAACGTTTGCCTCGATCGGACTTGAAAGATCTCCAGACGCACGTTGTGCAAGTCGGGGCAGACGGAGGCAGTTTGGGGATTTTTAATTTGGAACGACAAACCCGAAGACGATCTTCAAAGAGGCTCTTCAAGCACAGAGGTGTCAAACTCGGTCCCGGACCCTGACGGACCGATTCCCCAGCAGCGCTGAAACTGAGAAAGAGACTAAACTCAGGCACGACTCCGAGGTCGTGCATTTAAATATAGGACACACATTTTTGGATGTTTATGTTTTTTTCCAGGAAAAGATCTTATGACTTCGTGATTATTCTTAAACTTGCATAGCTCCAGATATATATATCCAGATATATCTGTCTGCCCCGATTTACACAACGTGCGTCTGGAGATCTTTCAAGTCTGATCGAGGCAAACGTTCAGCCGCTGAAACGCACGATTTTTCTGTGTACTGTTCTGTTCTAGTTTGTTCTTCGTGTGTCCGGACTGTGAGTAACTCTTGTATTGTATTGAATGTATTGTACTATTATTATATAATTCGTTACACTGTGGCTGTGTTGTGTGTGTGTTAAGCTGCTGTTGCACTGCAATTTCCCTCACGGGATCAATAAAGTATCTGTCTATCAGATACAACCACTGACGCGCCCCCAAACAAAGTTATTCCCCAATCTGCACGTTTGCAAATGTGTCGATTTCCCCACGTTGCCTTTAAAACTCATCTCCCTTTGTAGGACACCGCGAGCAACCATTTAAAACTCAAACCGGGCAGCCAAATAGGCGGGCATTGCCTGTGCAGAGGAAGCCGGTTTATTTTTGTTTCGTGCGAAAGCAGAGCGAGTTAGCTTTGAGCTGGATACATCAGTCATGCAGTTTCCAGAATTACACATTACTGTGCACTACAGCGTGGCAGGGAGGCGAGAAAACCGCAGTATGTGAGTGAAGTGTTGGAGCTGAGGACCTCAGGTGCTTGCAGTTGACCTGGACCCAGGTGCCTTTGGAGTGATCTTGGTCATCACCCCCTGCAGCCTCGAACCAAAACTTTTTTCTCTTTAACCTCTCTCTCATACAAATGAAAGAAAACACACCAACTTCCACAGCACGACAATTTTCTCTTTTTTTGCGAACTAAACAGTTCTATACACATATAATACCGGTGTGGCTCTGTTACTGATTTTATTTTATTTATTTTCAGTTTTTTTAAGTTAAAAAGGATACAAAGGCAGGGCTCAAGTAAAAAGAAAGAGACAGAATTCCGTCAATCGAACCTCTCCCGCACCAACATCATCAGTTTCTTTTTGCCTTTTACCTGGATAGTGACACTTTTAAAAAAAAAAAGTAATGAGGGGATGGGTGGTAGTTAGTCGCAGAGTGGTAACCCTGACACGGACCTGCCTATCAGCTGGTGAAATGGCTGATGGGGAGTGTGCGTCAAGGTTGTTGCGCTAGGATACAGAGATGGAGCGTATCAGCCTCTCATGTTCGGTTGATACACAGGGCGGGTATTTCCATAGCAGCTGATGGAGCCTTCACCGCAGGTTTGCAGTGTGTTGAACAGAATTTATTTGTTGTTGTTTTTTTTTTATCATTGCTGAATCAAGACGTTACAAACAACGTCAGGATTTTTCATTTATGTACCGGAGAATTTAATCTTTGTGTTACACAAAGAATTTTATTTTTAAGAATTTTAACATGTATCAGTTTTAAGAATGATGTCACCGTTATTCCCAGTAATGTACTAGTTTGAAGTGCACTGATCCATTTTGGGGACCACAGATCGTCTCAAAACGTTCATCCAGAATGACTACGGGTTTTTGTTTTTGCTTCATCTGGTGGATCAAATTTCAGTCTTTTCAAAAACAATGGTTGTATTATTCTGAAAATATGTCTATAATGGATTAGGACTACACCAAATAAAAGATATGCATGATAAAGCATTGAGGTTTATCATGAGGCTTTTTCAAAATTCAATTATCCAGGCTCATATGGCATTTCTGAGGAATTGCGTATATTTAAACATGAGAGGAGTGTGACTAATTACCAATTGTAATTTAGTTATTCTGTAACAACATTAAATTATTAGGTTTTTGTAAACATAACTTTAAAAAAACAGCTGTTTCATCACATTTAGGCCAAATCAGACAGTTATGTCTGTTATGAGAAGCTTGTTCAATTTGTTAATCCCTGGAGACGCTTCCAGTACCTTGAGTACATTTGAAAGGGATTATCACAGACATTTTGTATTATTTATTTTGATAAAAAATGCATGTTTAAAGTTTAAAAAAGTGTTTAAGCACAGAGAATGTCACAGAAAGTCAACTCGCCTCTTATTGTAAGTTCTGCTGCATTAACTTCACTCTGAAATATGAAATATAAGTGAAAAGTCAAGGATTTCTTCATTTGTTTCTCATTTTTTAATTAATACACTAATTGGATCATCTGTTCCTTTCCCATGGGAGTGGTCTCTACTGCGTTAAAAACTGCATTAATTACTCCTATACTAATGAAACCTGGCTTGGATTCTGATATATTGATGAACTACAGACCAATTTCCAATTTACCATTCCCATCTAAGGTTTTAGAGCATGTGATTGCAGATCACTTACAGGTTCACATGGTAGGAAATTAGCTATTTGAACCCTTCCAGTCCAGATTTAGTACTAATCAGAGCACTGAGTCTGCTCATGTCAGTTTAGTGAATGGTTTGCTTTAAGCATTCAACTCTGGGGCCAAAGTATTCTTATGTGTCTTGATGTTAATGCAGTTTTTACGGTAAATGATTGAGTGTTGCTCGAACACTCGAATACATTTTTATCAGTTGTACTGAAGTTAACTGGCTCCTTTCAGACGTGATCAACTGGCGGTGTTTTGATTCGCATAAATCCCTCATGTCCCTGGTCAATTACGGTGTGCTGCAGGGTTCAGTCTTGGGTCCTTTGCTTTGTATTACTTATATGCTTCCTCTCTGTCAGGCTACATGAAGACATGGTCTTAACTTTCATTGCTATGGAGATACTACTCAGATCCATGTCATAACCTCTTCCCCCTTCTGATTTACCATCTCTGTCACTTATCTCTTGTCTGTCTGACATTAAGCTGTGACTGACACTCAAGTCCTTGGAACTATACAGGAACAAAACCAGTTTTACTGGTCTGGGCAGTAAATATCAGCCGGAGAGTTTCACACTAATGGAAGGTGAGTTCCCCATTCAGGTGTCGCCCCTAGTGCAGAATTTGGGAGTCATACTTAATCCTCTCCTGTCCTTTGAACCCCGTGTGAAAAATTTGATTAAGACGTCTTTTGTTTTCTGTCTTGGAAATATTGCCCGCATTAGGAATATTCTATCGATGTCCGACACTGAGTGCTTGATTCATGTATTTATAATGTTAAGGCTTGATTTCTGTAAGTCTTTGCTCTATGGGTAATATGTGCTGCAAAATGTCCAAAGCTCTGTAGGCTGTAAGCTCACACTAGACTCTGGCAGCATATTACTTACTAATTACTAATACTTGTAAGTCACGTGTTCAATACAAGATCTTGTTACTGACTTATAAGGTTCTAAATCTGGCTCTGTGATACATCTTTGAATTCTCCCATGTATACACGGCTTCTCATTGGCTTTGCTCATTTGAGGCTGGTCTCCTGCTCACTGTTGGTCACCCTTGTGTTGTACAATCTGGTTTCTCTCAAGCTGTTCCTTAACTCAACTGGTGAAGCAGTGTCTTGCTCCTCTGCTTGGCTGCTGGTGTGCTGTGGGGTCAGGGGTGCAGAATAGCCAGTCAGGTACATGTACCCTTCAGTGGTGGAAACTGTGGGTCCCCTCCTGTGTGTGAAGCTCCTTTGGGAGAATTGAGCTGTAAATAAAGTTTTTGTGATACATATACAGTAACTTAATAATTATTGAAATTTATTTGGCTCGCATGCAATTTTGCAATGCAGTGCATGGCAAGTCTCCAGATAGTGATTTGTATCCTTTAGTTTGGTTTTTTGATCAGGTATATGTCAGTATTTATTGTGGCTCCAATGCTGTGTGCAATAAAGCATATTAAAAAATAGAAAATACCGTACAACTGTTTCCTGTTTGTAAGGTAGTGTGCAGAAATACAAGTTTTGTGTTTCAAAGAACTTTCCTAGTCAGGCAGACAAGCCATACAGCGCATCAGCCACACTAATCTGGACAGGTTTCAGATCGTTCAGCTCGTGAAGTCAGATCGTGAAGCTGCAGCATGTGCTCTAGCATTTACACATAGGCCTTATAGGTAAAAGGCTATGGGGACAAATCTTGCATAAAAAAGGAAACTGTGAAAACGACCTGTATCACAGACGGCCTCCTCGCCGGAAAAGTGTTCTGAAACACTGCCAGCTGGCTCTTTTGGTTGAGAAACGCTAATAAGTACACTAAGCTTGTGTATGTTGCATTCATTAATGTAGTATTTCAGAGGTCTTTTTGCTCTATGGGCTATATAAATGTTTGTAGTCCACACACTGTTTTAAAGCCACATAGTGCTATTATTAATAAACTTGGTTACACTGCAAACGTCAGGTGAAACCCTATCATTTTGTGAGAGCATGCTGTTTAGGTCAGTTACTTCACAGATATGTTAAATTTATAACCAAAAGCTTTTATACTTAAAAGCAATTAAATCATAATAGTTTTTTTTCTGTAGTATATCATAGTGGGATTTGAGCTTTCTTCTTCACAATCCAGAGGGCCTGTAAATCTGGCTCTACACAGGTATTTTGCTAATCCACCTTAAAGAGTGTTTTACACCACCTAAACAGTCATGTGCTCTAATCCACAGCAGAGATCCAAAAATGGATTACAGGCAATAAAAGCAGCAGTTAAAGTGTCTGGCAAGGTTGTGATAAGCACATTTTCAAGGAAACAAGAAAATTCCTGGGACCCCATGTGAGGTTGAGAAGTTGTTAAGATTTTGATGTTATCAAAGTCCGTTTCATATACTTTTAGATATTTTCCAGCGTTCAGCTCACATGATTTACTAGTGAGCCTGCAATGACAACACCAGCAGGGCTCCAGTGTCCCAGAAAAGGAGGTGTCTCTAACACCCCTGTAATCTCAGAGTACCTGACAGAAGTAAAAGAATAAGTAGAAGGTGGCACTGTAAACTGTGAACCGCAGTGTCCAAACACCTCAAGAAAACCCTCTTCTTTTTAGGTGAATAAAGTACAGAATCTGGGTTGCATGAACTCATTTTGAGAGTGCCTGAAGATGTCTCGACTCCCTTTTCAGATTTAAGGAATTCTAATGCAACACTAATCATGGAAGCAATTCCCCAAAACACGGTAAACTAATTATCAAGAGACAAAGATGATCATATAGCTGTAAAGCTCGGCTATGTTACTGCTTAAGCTGCTGCTATCTTACATGATTTATGTACTATGTACTGTTAACTTAGTACATTTTTAATACCCTTATATTAAAGACTGTCGGTGCGGATTTGTAGAAGGAAGCACTTAAATTTGTCCTCATTTTGAAAGAAGGCTCATCCTTGTTGTAACTCTTCAAGCGCGACCTCGTGCTCGAAGGTGGAGTTTGCCACCTGGGCTGAAATTTTTTTTCTTTTTTCCCAGGCCGCCTCGTGTTCGCGCTGGGACGGTCCCGGAACGTGAGTCTGCTGCAGAACGCCACTGTGGAGGCTGTCATACCCAGAATCCCCGCAGACGTCACCTACATCACCTTCCAGCTCCACACGCAGCACCAGAATGCCACCGTGTCTTATCACCGGGTAGGAGCCGCTGCTTTGGCCGGAGATTTATACTGCTCTGGGGAGACAGAAAACTAAAGGTTTTGGAAATGCCAATAATATGACAGTGCATAATGATCACAGCCCTTAAGATTAACTTTAATATTAATTTCGGATATGTGCAATGCTTGAAAGCCTCCAGTATTTATACCTCAACAGAAAACTGAAGTGCGGATTCTGCCAGGAATGTTTAAGCTTAATTTGACGTAGCTAAGAGCTATTCAGTAATCCCTGGTAATTCTTTCTGTACAGGGCGGTTTTGCCAATTAAGTAGACATTAGTGGATTTATAGTGGATATACTGGGACAAAAGCAAGCTCCTAGATCTAAAGTAAATTGGTTACTTAAGTGTGGGAACTCTCCATCTGCACAGAGCTTTACCTCCCATCAAATCATTTTTTTTGCTTCTTTTCATTTTTTCCTCGTGGATGAATTTCATTTAAAAATAAATCAATATACGGTCTCTAAAATGTGCAGGATTTTATACTGCAAAACATTTTATACAAGCATGTCTTTGTCTATTGTAACACAGCAAATAAACTTAAATTCTGTGTAATTATTAGATTATATAGTATTCTTTGGTTGTTAAATTAAAGATATTTTCTGTTAACTGTTGTTAGCCAAGATTATAAACTGCTTTCTTTCGCTTCCCTGTTTTTGTACTAGTCGGTATTGTTAATGGTTGATTTGAACTTCTGCGGTATAATTTGGAAGGATCTGTAAAAAATGATTTCTGGTAGTCTGAGGTTTATCTCCCCTCTAGGAAGGTTTTTGGTCATCACACCCATCATGGGAATGAGGATCCAGACAAGATACAGGCGTGACACAGTGAGGGAAAGTCAAGTGATGTTGCCTGTCAAGAGGTCAAGTTACACCAGCGAGCACCAGAGAGTCATGAGTCTTGTTAACGCTGTGTGTGCTACAGACTGTGGCAGTGACTGGGCCATCCCCGACCCTGCACGGCTGGCTGCTGTGCTGTAGGGAAGCAATCATGTGGTGGCTGTTGTAGCATGCTGTAGTTTCTTCTCCCATTCAGATGATGCGTAAAGAACACATCAAGCCCTGAAAAGTTCGGACCTCGTAAAAAAAAAAAAAAATTAGTGTGATTGTTGTGTAATAAAGGAAGACCAGCAGCTAAATGGGAATGACTGTGCGGTCATGTCTGTGAGACCATATTCACACATTCTTTTATACTACCACTCCGATGACATTTTGACTCCCGAGTGAGTATATGTGGTAACACCATGATGAGCAGCATCAGGAACATAATCATTAAGCAAAACTTGAATAAGGCATGAAGCCATGCCGCTAACGAAGTGCCGTTTAACCGTGAGTTAAACAGCCCTTTGCTGTTGTTTCCCTGCTACAAAATGACTTTCACATAGACCTCCTCCTTATCAGAAGTTGCCGGTTCCTAGTTGAATAACTTGGAAAGCCAGTTTACCACCCTTTTGCCCCGATTTCAGGTGCTGACCGCGAGCTCCTCTCTGAATGGCTCCGATGCAGGGTTGCTCTTCCCTCTCATGCGCCTGCAGAGAACCCTCACCTGGTACCTTCGGTCTCCTGAGCGCAGCGCCATCACTGGCACGGGTGTGATCTTACCTTACGGGGAAATCCGTGAGTTAAACAGCACTTGAAGTTCAGCTGTCTTCACTTTGTCTTTAAGGAAAAGATTTATCGAATGAGTGTCTTTCTGTGTGTAAGATGTTGAAGATCCTTGTCCCAGAGTCCATCTGTGTCTGCTGGTTTTTGTTTAATTACCAGTGCTAATTGATAACCTACAGTTCAGTTCAGTTTATTGACATACGCACAATAAACAATAAATTCTCCAATACAAGACATTAAGGAAACACCAAAAACACAAAAGAGAGGCAGCAACAACAAGTTAAATAACATACATCTTGTTATTGTGTGATACATATACAATAACTTAATAATTATTGAAATTTATTTGGCTCACATGCAATTTTGCAATGCAGTGCATGGCGAGTCTCCAGATAGTGATTTGTATCCTTTAGTTTGGTTTTTTGATCAGGTATGTGTCAGTATTTATTGTGTCTCCAAAGCTGTGTGCAATAAAGCGTATAAAAAAATAGAAAATACTGTACAACTGTTTCCTGTTTGTAAGGTAGTGTGCAGAAATACAAGTTTTGTGTTTCAAAGAACTTTCCTAGTCAGGCAGACAAGCCATACAGCGCATCAGCTACACTAATCTGGACAGGTTTCAGATCGTTCAGCTTGTGAAGTCAAACACCAAAAACACAAAAGAGCGGCAGCAACAACAAGTTAAATAACATACATCTTAGAAAAAAAAAACACCAGTGTGAGCCAGTGGTAGAGGTAGAATTCAGTAATCTGACAGCTTGTGGGAAGAAACTCTCTCTCTGAATCTGGAAGTTTGTGGCTTTATGTTCCTATAACGCTTACCAGAGGGAAAGGGGGAGAAAAATGAGAAACCAGGGAAGGGAACCTACTGTATATGCTTGCTGGTTTAGTTTTTGTTTCTGCCTTCAGTCATTGGTTTAAAAAATTACTTAGTCTTATTTCCTACATAGTTCGGTACACCGAACTTCATGCAGTTTGAGAATGAAGAATCGTCTCCTCTTATTTGGTGATCCATTGATGATGAAAAGGCATCATCAGTGGTAGGAATGATACTGTATCAGACAATCCCACAGTTGTTTTTTTTTAAGTCCAGTTCATTATACTATAGCTATCACCCCTGAATAAGGGCAGTCCTGAAACGAAGTATTTTTACACATGCTTCATACCAATTACAAAATGTATTCTGCTTTTTAAGAGCTGAATACAAATTTAAACAAATGAAATACGTTAGCCTGTATTAAGAACTGTGTTATAGCAAGAACAGAAGATCCAGAGTTACCCAGAATCTGCATCTAGAACCTCTACTAGGATTTTTTATTAAAAAAGGCCCGAGTGCAGAAAAAAAGGAAATAGATGAGTTACTTGCTGCAGTGATCATTAAAGGCCCAGTTGGAACAAAGACCAACAGGCACAGAGGTACTCCCGGACCAGGATTAAAAACCACATCTCTGTGGTGTTCAACAACAGGATGTCTTTCCATTTTCTGATAATTCAGACTCTTCAGTTACATCTCTCGTTAACTGGTTATATTTTTACAAATTCATGCTCTGGGCTATTATTTTAATGTTTGTTTAAAGCATCCTGTGATGTTTGAGTGTTTATAAATGTTCCAATTACATGAACGCAGTTTAAGATTTTAATATTTTCAGTAAATGTAGCAGGATTAATAAAATGAAAATGTTATTTTCTGTTTCTGCAGACCCTGTTCCTGGAGGCTGTAACACTGAGTATAACCTCCTTGTTGATCCCAACATTTACCTGCAGTACAATTTGTTCGAGACCATCATTCAGTTTGCACCTGCGAATATTGGTTATGCGAGGTAGTGTTTCCCAGCTGCCTAAAATTCCTATTCCTATTATTTTTTCATTTAATCAAACAGTGCAGTCTGAGCAGTGGTTAACGCCAGATAGTTTGGGATTCCACTGGCAAAATCAAGGGCTCAAGGGGATTTCATGCCAGGGGAGTTTGCTCCCAGAATATTTTTTTTTTAAATGGAGCTTGAAGGGACAATGAGCCAAATGGCCATTCTGTAGGTATTGTAGTGCTCTGAAGAGCATTCCTTCCTTTTCCACATGCTTGAGAAAAGAGCAGTTACAAGCGAGGGAAGGGCACTCAGCCCACCTAGTCGGTTAGGTACTGTAGTAGATCATGAATCCAAAGATCTCTCCCAGCCGTTCCCTGGAAGAAGCTGGGATATTGGGTAGAACAGCTTGTTTCATAGTCCCACAGTTCTTTAGGTAAAGAAGTGCTTCCTGTTCTTGTGTTCAAATGCACTTCAAAAAATGTATCTGAAATGACATAGAACCCTCTAAATTTAACCTTTGACTTTTTCCGATTTTATGTTGCACGCGTTTTACAGTGTTTGTGCATCTACACTTTACTACCTTCTTTCCACATTAATGATATACTGGAAGAGAATTCTCCTTTGCCTACATTTGGGCATGTGGCATTGCAGGAATAACATTCTCCTTTCCTTGGCTAACGGCTCCTCTGTGGATTCCGAGTTTATTTTTGGCACTCTCCCAGTCCCTTTTTCAATCCGGTCCAGGAACCCGGCAGTGACTCCCTTCTCTGTGTCCCAGGGGCCGCACTCCACCACCTTGCGATGTAAACAGCGGGCAGAGCTCCCGCTGGCGCCTGGAGTATGACGTCTACCAGTACTTCCTGCCAGAGAACGACCTCTCCGAACAGGTCCTGATCGAGCACATACAGAAGGTGGCCAGTGTGCAGCAGATGGTACTCAATGGCAAAAAAGTGAGTACAGTCCCTCCTCCAGTGTCACTGCCAGTGTCACTGTCACCGCAGTTTCAGTGAAGGTTTCCTACCTTCTCTGGGTTACCTGGAGAGGCAGTTGTAAAACGTGAACTTTATTGCCATATGTAACCGGTGCATGAACTGGTACAATGGAATTCTTACTTACAGAAAGTCTCTCGACTGTAAAAAAAAAAAAAAAAAAAAGGCAAAGAATGCAAGATCTGGGCAGGTCTCAGGTGCAGGTGAAATACAGAAGTAAAGTACTTCTGTCTCCTCGTACTCTCATCCTGCTCTAGGGTTTGTTGTTTTAACAGAAGCAGTATTTGCATGGCGTGCAGCCTTCCTTAGTGACCTTCCCGATGGCACGTACGTCAGGGACTGTATTTGTGCAGTCTGGGGTAAGGGGTAGGGGGATGTTTCTGCAGCTTTTCAGTTTGATATTCTAGGAATACATTGCAGGTGGGTCAAAAGGTCATTCTGAGATCTAATAGAATCCAAGTGCTGAATAAGAAGGTAGTTCTTACACCACAAGTCTTAAAAGTGTAGAACATTGATCAATGTCAGCATTTAGTTCCCTGTTCCTCACATTTTTATCCTCCTCCTCTTTCTACAGCTGGTGATGTTAAAGTCAGTCGACAAAACTATGGTGTCCTTCAGCTCTGTTCCAGGCCAGGGGGTGATCTACTCCGTTATAGTGCGGGATCCACTGTTAAACTCATCTGCCTCCTATGTTCCCGTTCACACCTATGCCTGCAATTTCTCTTCCAACTTGGACAACTGCTACACTCTGGGTATGTATCGCCTGTCTCATTGGATCTTTCCTGCTACTAGAGTTTTTCTCTGAGAGGATGTATTTGGTACTGTTTGCATTCTAGCTGTGGGTAGGGCATCAGAGCTCAGAGTCAGAGCTCAGCTGGATGGGCTGGAAAGCATGTGGACTGCTTCTGGATTCACTTCCAGACGTTTGTCCATGGTCACAGCAAACATTGGTTGAAATATCCTGCACTAGACAAAATGCGCGCATCCTTTTCAAAACACTCATTCTTGACCCCTCTGGCCCAGTCTGTTTTCCTGCCCTTCATCTCTCCCTGCTCCTCTGCATTTCACTATCCCCAGAGCCAGTGCGTGCTCATCGCTGGCTCTGCAGGGCTGAGATGAGCTCTCTGTTGAAATCAGAAGTACTCCGTTGCTCCTTAAAACTCATCTGTTCAGACCGCACCTCTGAACTCTGATCACACTGCTGGGAACTTTCACCAGTACAGTACTCGGTTCCTGCTTTTCTGTAGTCAGTGACACCTTATTTGAACACTACTTCCCGCTCAGTAGACATTGTTTTCACTTCGCTCTTCACTGACACTGTTCTAAGGTGCCTGCTTCTCTGTTCTTGCCATTCTTTGTTGCACTCTTTCTTTTCTGTTGAATGTTTTGTTTTGTACTTTATGTAGGTTTGTCAGTTTTGCAAGTGCCTCTGGATAACAGCATCTGCTAAACAAATAATAAAAAATATAAATCTCACTTTTAGATGTACAATAATAAAGAAGGTTGATCCACTTTTTAAGATCTCCTTCCTGTGAATGTACAGGATGTTAACAGATACTTTTTAAGACGAAGGCTTGTTTTGTGGGGAAAAAAACAGGCATGGATATAGAATTTAATCATTTTGAAATCATTTTCAAAACCTTAAATATGAATTAAATATGTAATAAATATTGAAGAACCACTTTGTTACTCCGATCTCTCAAGCGTGTATAAGCAACAATGTAGTTTGAATATATTTAACCCTACACAGTATTTGTATGTGTTTTTAATTTCAGGAAGAATATCTACAAAGGTCTTTTTTACCATCGCTGGTATAGCTGGCCTTTTTGTTTGCTTCTTCGGGCACAGATTTTTCAAATCTGGTAAGAATTCTCCTGTTTGAAAGATGTTGTGGCAAATTAACTTTGAGATGGAGATCTGAAAGACGGGTTTCCCTTAGTGATGGCGAGACGTTGTTGGGAACAGTGCATGAAGGGCAGTAAAAGCGACACTGATGAAATAGCAGAAGTTGGATTTGATTTCACAGGAGTTCTGTTGTTGGTAATAGCAAAAGAAAGGGACACAAGGTGAAGGAGATTCAGGATGTGATTAGTACTGATTAGTGATTAGTTAGAACCAGGACCACAGAAATGGACTTGGTTTATTTAAAATGTTTTGTGTTTTTTATGCATGAGCATTTCTGTTGTGGTTGCTTAGGTAGTATTCATCATAATGCAACTTTTTGTTTCTCTTCAGAACTGTTCTGTATGGGATTTGTCTTTGTGGCGTTCCTGTTCTTCATTCTTATTACAAGAGTGACATCCCTGGACTACGACAGTGAGTGGCTGTTGTGCTAATTAAGTGGACAGTGATAGAGTCATGTAATGAAACATTGTTTCTCATGACCTCACATGCTCAGTTACTGTACATTTAGATGGAATATATGGCACCCCTGCTTGTAATAAATAAGCGTGGCAGTGCTTGTCTGATATACTGCTATAGTGACAAAAACTGACTTGTGTCAATAATAAAGAAAACAGAAAAGGCTTCAGCTCAAGTCTGTCTGCCCAGCCGTGTTGAAGTCCCTACAATGGCTTCTTTCAAGAAGTAACTTTAATGATATACCATTTGTAAACCTTTCTGATGTTATCTTCCAATGTCAAAGAAGGACCAGTTCACTCACATCCCTTCTTTTCTCCTTCTGAAAGCTTGGTTTTCTGTCCACACATCTGCTGCCCCTCTCCATGAACAGAAAGGTCCTTTTATTCAGCCAGCACACCTGTGGCTTGTCCCGATTGTCAGATCTGGCCTCTTGCTCCGCTATGCTTTCATAAGCCTCCTTGCCATGTCATTATTGAAAACAAGAATTTGTCCTTGTTCATTTAAATAAACAAATGGAATAACATATAGTTGGCGTGAAATCATTCAAATGTAGACAGATGTTAAATACATTCAGTCGTGCACTTGCTTTCTTAAAAAATATTGATATTCCATGATTAGTTTGCAGTACATAAGTTACTTTGATGGCACTTTGGGGTTTATGATGGCTTCTGCAAATTAGGTTTTTCATAGTACTTTTGAAATTCAATCACATTGACCTTAAGTTATTAGAAGGGAGGAAGCTGAATTTTATGTAACTTAACGTAATAATCCTTATCTTCTTTCATGTGCTGCTTATTAAGCTAAATCAAATCTCATGGCCAGGGAATAGAGGACTTTGTGTAAATCATGAACAGGGGTCAGAAAGCTTTGAATATAATACAGAAAACACAGGGCAGTTGTGTTGGCCCAGCTTTTAGCACCCTTCGTGACATATACCCAAACAGAAAGGTCAGGATATTGTGGGTGCTTTTTTCTCCTTATTTCTGCTCTTTTTCTTCTGCGGGTAGAAAGGACTGGATCCCTTCAGAGACGTTTCTGACATTAGAAGATGTTGGCAGGGATTTTCAGATGCTCTGAAAGTGTTCTGTAAGCCGAAGCCCTAAGTCTGAGTGCTCTGTGTGTCCGGCAGTGCGCTTGGGCCTGACCGCCCTGGGGGGCGCCGCTGGAGGGGTTCTGCTGGTTCTGTGCTGGTGGAGGTTCGGCTCGGTGCTCCTCTGCGTCGTGATCGTAGGGCTGATCCTGGGGTTCCTTGTGTCTTCCCTTCTATTCTTCACCCCGATAGGTAAGTCAGCGGTAGCTGGGAATACATTTACACCTCAGTAACGTGTTTGGTCCTTTAGTTTGGAAAACGGCATGCTTAATCAGGGGCTGTAGTAACCGTGGTTTGTCATTATAGTTTAATACGTCTGTGTTATGTAGTGGGTTGGTGTCCTGTCCAGGATGCCCGCTGCTTGTCGGGATAGGCTCCGGCTCCCCGGGACTCTGAATTGGAGGACGTGGTTACAAAACAGATGGATGTAGTGGGACATCTTGTGGACTAAAATTGTAACTAAAGATGTGGCATCTGCTTTATCAGTGTGTCCTGTTTTAGTTCATAATTACTGCATTGGATGCCAAGATGGGTTTTATGTTGAAAACTTTTTTTTTATTCTCTCCAGGAGACTTGTCCATTTTCCGTACGGATTCTGTGTTCTGGCCAACATTCTGTAGCGTTGTTGTGGTCATTCCTTTGATATTCTTCAGGTGGCCCAGGGAGGTAAGATCGTAATACATTCCCTTTAATACAGAAAGTGGTTAGACCTGCTTTATCTCACTACTGACCACGTGCGTGGTCACCCTGTCATTCGCGTCCACGAGTCGTCCGTTACTTCAAACATCCATTTTACTCGAAACTGCAGCTCTTTTATAGACCACATGCCGAATAACAGCATGTGACTTCTGTCTGTTCCTGCTGGAAGAGTAACATGAACAGAGTAGTTTTCCTCACTACATGTATATGATTAGATCTTAAGCTTCCTGAATAAGAGGTTTTAATTGTGTAGTTCGAGAGCTACTCTGTAGCTGAAAGCATCCCAAAGCTTATCCTAAGTGCAACAAGACACATGTGACAGAAGGCTGTTGCAGAGGAGAAGAATTCAAACTACCATATAAATTACCATAGATCCAGAATCTAACAGTCGACATCATAGAGATAAGTAGGCACGTCTACAATAGTTAATCTTTCTTGCTTTTCTCATGCTACTCCATTACTCCACTCCCTCCAGTGGCTTCCTGTATTCACGCACATCTAATTCAGAACCCGGGTTCTTGCCTTCAAGTAACTCCAGCTCCCTGCTTCTGCCCGTCAGCGGTCTATCCCAGCCCTCCTCCTCCAGGAGCGGGCTTCCAAGCCCGTGTGTTCTCCGCCCTCTCTCCTCAGTGGAGAGATTGGGAACATCTTTCAGCATCCGTTCAGACAGCACCTCCAGTTCCTAGCTACACAACTCAGTATCTCTGGCACTGTACTGCAGAAGACCATTTTAGTTCTTGATTTAATTCCCTTGTTGCCTTATTGACAGGAAAAAAAGAACACATTACTGTTTTAGCACCTACGCTTAGTGGGGTGTTTCTGTTGAGCAAGTATAGAATAACTTGGTCGAGTAGCTGAATTCAAGTGGTATATTTTTAGAATAATGAGTCTTAACTGGTGATTTTCAGAGGGTGCAGGATGATAAAATGCTTCATTTCCCCTAGGGGAACATCACTGCCTGTGGAGTTGCCGGCGGCTATGCAGTAATTTTAGCTGTGAACAGCTACATCTACACCAGCCTCTCCTACATTACATTAGATGTCCTGAAGAGAGCCTTAAACAATCAGTTCAGCAGAGCCTTCACAAACGTGCCTTTTCAAGGAATAGGTGAGCATGACCGCTCCTCCTTTGTACTGAAGCACGTATACTGTTCTGTCCTACAGGTTGATGAAATAATTCCATCGGCGAAGCAGTTTCTCACACGGCTACCTGGTGTGGCACTTACAGGGAGAGCCGTACTCCAGTGGTACATGTTCTTGAATGTAAAGCACATACAGTATGGCTTCATGCAGGAGGAAAAGCACTAAACATATTCCTTTATTTGTAGTTATTGCCCTCGTTATGAATCACATTTTCCATTCTGTTCGTCGTCTCCTGCTTCCGATATTTTTCTGAACTTCAGAAGCAGCGGTGGAGCCGATCGGCTCCTTTTCAGATGGCTTATTCGGGCTCTGCGACTCCTCTTTCCTTTGCTCTTCGTGAAAGGTGTGATTTGTTAAATTCACAACTGAGGGATGGAGGTGTCTCCCTGTGCTCTTGCAGATTACATCCTGACCACGGTGTGGGCGGTCCTGGCGGTGAGCGGCGTGGTGCTGCAGCTGTACCGGGAGAGGAGCAGGCCCTTCTTCCCACCCAGCCCCTACCTCATGTGGAAACAGGAGAGGGAGAGGCGGAAGACCAACATCCTGGACCCCAGCTACCACATCCCCTCGCTGCGGAGCCGCTTGAAAAGCAGAGTGCAGGATATGTTTCGGCGGAGGGAACCTGCAGGAGAGAGAACTCCCTTACTTTTATAACGACCTTCCGTCCGGGCTCCATCAGGCTTGCAGGCGCCTCCAAGGAAGCCGAAAGCACGTTATCTGGAATATTTCTAGCGCCGATGACCCAGACATCTGCCGTATTATCAAGGTGCTGTTGAAAACCGAGACTTCCTTGGGACGTAACGGAAAAGGTGGAAGTTTTCCTGAACACTTGGAGCGTACCAGCCACAGTAAAAAAAAAAAAAGAAGATTTTTGAAATTGTAGTGGCACCATTCCATAGTATTTTTAACACATCTGTTACTGCAGTGAAGGCAATCCCCCGATTGTCAGAGAACAAGCTCTCTTGCTGTAAGCGCACATGATCGTTGTGGTGAGATAGAGTAAGGCACACTAAGGATTTGCCACCAGCATTTAAACTCCTTTGGTACTGTCAGTGAACGGCTTGTGGAACTGATGTTCAGTTATTGTCCGTTTGCACCCCAGATGTCACTTTATTCCCTTTGTCCAGCCAGGTCCCGGCGTAGGGAGCTGCACTACTGAAGCAAATACCAGGGTTTTGACTTCGACTGCGCAACAACCTGGATTGTTGCAGGACTAGCGAAACAATTGTCGACATGCAATTATGTTTCTCTGAAAGGTAATAAAATTATCCCAAAAAGTCCTGGTACCAAGAACTCCAAAGGGCTACTGTTTATTTTCTAGTGGAGGGTTCCTTTGTCAGGGGTTTTGAGAAGGTGATGGAAAATGCGTCCCTCTAAAGATCTGATCTGTCTTAAGCGTCTCAGTGAGGTATAAGACGTTTCTTCGTGCAGAATTAGGAATCCCAGGTTGGTTTGGGCAGCTTGTATGTGCTTTGAGCTGATGGTGTGGAATCCAAAACAACTCTGAACCTACCTAACATAATTTGTTAAGCAGTTTGTTACATGAGGTTATTGTTCCTGTAAAGGATTTAATATTCGAGGTTTGTATGTTTGTATCTTCGTTTTACACCATCAGAATGTCCAGAGATGAGAGGAACAGAGGAAGCTGTTTGGATCATCATGCTCACTACATAGCTGTATTGGGAGCGACTACCTTCCCCTGTAACAATATCTCTCATGGTTGTGTTTCTGACAGACAGTACGTTTGCTTCTTTTACATATCCCCTCTTGTAAAACTATCAAGGGCTTTAAAATACATCACCCATGTCTTCATTAAAATATTTTTAAATGTAGCACGTTTTCATGGGAAATTTGTTTTTTCAGCATTTGAGTTAATCGTGTTTTAAAGCCGTCACTATGTTGTTCCTTTTTCTAGAACCATTCAAATCCACAGTTGTTTTTAAATACTCAGATTAAGAAAACCAGCACTGTCTTTTAGTGAGCGCTTCTTGATTGTTTTGCTTATCGACTAAAAACACTAGTTTTTATCACTTCAACTCACAGGAAGGAAGCACTTCGAATCCTTTTTACATACAGTATGTATTTTTTATATATGCAGTCTTCATTTTCCTTGAATTTCACCTTGAATTTTTTGTCCAGCTGCTGTTTAAGTAATTCAGTGTCTTACAATAGGTAGTATATTTATAAAACAAGAAGTTATTTTTTCCATTATTGTGAAAAGCAACTTTAATAGAACTTTAAGCTGCGAAGGGGGGTATACATCTTCCAAAAGAGGAGAACTAATATAAATATAAATTAGGCATCCCTCTGTATCAGCCCCAGTTAGAGTGCCTGCCCTTTTTTTATAAATGACTTTTTTGACAAATTCTTTGTAACATGCACTGTAGAAAACCAGAAAAGTACATTTTTTGTATGCATTTGGAAAAAAGAAGATAAAGTACTGTGCAGTGAAGATCAGCATATTTATTCTCAAAGGCAAGAGTATTTCCACTGCTTTAATCTGTCTTGGGAACCCCATCATGTTTTCCTAGAGATTTTTGCTTGCTTTCAGGTGCTTTATAGCCTTTGAGAATCAGGAATTCAGTTTGTTTTGCCCTGTGACACCTGTAAAATGTCAAAAAAGGCATGCATTTGTGATTTCCTAAGCCCCACGAGGCACACAAGATTTACAGAGAATGTTTGAAAACCTTGTGTGTTGGTGTTAATAAATATTGCTTTTTTTGCAAGTGTGAGAAAGTGTTTGATTGATGCGCAATGCACAGATTTGTTTTTAGAGATGAGAAATTGGTTTTCTTGCCAATTTAACAGTCTTCAGTGGTTTTTGCCAAGTAAAGCATTTGTTCACAAGTATGCCAGTTAAGTATTATTCATAAAAGGCAACTGCTAATTGGGCACATCTGTTGTACATTGCTCCTGTTTGCTGACTTGGCAACATTTTAATACATTAATAGATATGGATGTATTGAAACATCCAAATTAAACTGTGCAGATGAGTATGAAAATGTCTTGCACAAAAAAGACGAGGCTGTTCTTTTACCATGTATTAATTTACAAAACTTTAATTGCAAAGGATTGTCCTATAGATCTCCTAAAGGCAGGAACAAAGGTTTGATGTTTGGAAAACTGTACGCTGTTGAGTGCATCTTGCTCATTAATGAACAGCCTATTACCTAAAGGAAGTCTCAGCCTCAAAGCCACTTCTTGTGTGGAAAATGTTTCCAGTTCTCTAACTTGATGCTTTTGTTTGTTTCTAGTAAAATATTCCCTTAGAGGTGAAACCTAGTTCATCAAGCTTAAGTGCCAATCAAAATCATGGATCATTATTTAAATATTGCAGTATTCCAATAGTCCAACATATAAACAGTGATAACTTGCCAATTTAAGTCTTATAGTTTGTGTGTGGGGACATTATACCTGTTTAATTTTGGAGATATTTCAAGGCCCATGAATAATTCTGTGCAAACAACCATTTAGAATTAGTTCCACAGCTGATGTAATTTTCTGCTTCTGGGGACACTGAAGTTTAGAAGTTGAATTGTCAGATTCCCGAGTGAAGTGCTTGCTCCTTTTAAAGAAGTGATCTTTTCAGCTTGCAGCGATCCACATGCTTTATGGTCAGAGGTAATGCCCTCGCATAAACACTTCGGAATTCAAGGAAAGGTGTCACCCTGTACGTAAGTCATCATGAGCTTAAATCATTGAACTTGTCAATACTTTGCGTAGTGAAAGACAAAAACAAACCCTTGAACTCGTAGTCGAACCAAAAATGCCACCCCCTTCTTTGAAGGTACTGTGATCAATATACTTAAATAAATGGGCCCACAGCCTTATATAGAAGTACCAAAATACAGATTTATTTCATGGGTAGACATTTCCAAGTGACGGGGCCCTACAAATTTTAGAGTCATATTTTAGTTAGCATCTGCGTGAGACCTGGAATGCACAGTTGTGTTTTGTACTTGACTTCTTAACCAATTAACTCAAGCCATCGAGACATTGAGGTCTGACAAGTTGCAAGAAAAAGAGAAATATGGTGTTCCAGCGATGAGCAAATTCTGAAGAGAACCATCTCTTGTTAGTATTCAGGATTTATTCCATATATGAATGAAATGGGTGTCTGCCAACTTACCCATCAAATGACTGATAACGGTTAGAGATACCAGGTCCCAGAACTAATACTTGGGGCCTGGTTTGTGTGTTCATATGTAGATGTATTTTTTTTGTACACTTTCACTTTGTATAGCTGTTCCCTTTGTCTTGTCACACTCTGAATTTTTATTAAAAAATAAAAAGCAATGTAATGCTTAAAAGGAGTTAAAGACGATTTAACTCCTGCAGCATCTGTTTTCCTTAAACTTTATTGTATAAAAAGAGCCAACACGTGATAGTTCTCATTTTATTAGATTTATATTCATCAAAATATACACATCCTGTTATTATACAGTCCTTTTAAGCCAAAACATTCATTATATTTGGATAGCATTTCTTGTACATTAAAATATTTACTTTTCACAATAAAAAGATCTTTTTATGTATAAATATCAAGCCGCTGTTGTCAGTTGCTGTACTGTAATGAATGAGGCTGATCAAAGGGAAGATGTGTGGTTTTATAGCATATATATATAGTAATGTTTAACAGGGAGTCATCCGTGTTCCTTGCGTCTATACTAATGTTTCCATTGTTTTCTGCTTCATTGGTTGAATAACTGCAGACTACATTGTTCATACTAAATAGTATTTTAGATGCACAGGGCACAAATCATTTCAATTCTCAAAATGTCTGTTTATAAACTGCTTTACAAAAGCACAGCAGAATTCTTAAGCAGGTGAAAGTAAAAGTAAATGAATGATAGAACTGAATTAGGCTTTTCTTTAGAATTTCACTTAACTTGAAATTCATGGATAGGGTTATTTGTTTCCAAATGTTGTACACATGTTTTATGATGCAATGTTTTACAAGCTATTGTAAAATTTAGGACACTACCTCCTAGTTTCTTCAGAGACATTCAGTTGCCAAAATCATAACACATTTGATTATACAGTACAGAACTTCACCAGTTTCATTTGAGATAAAGCACTAACTGGTTATTTACAGTATGTTATTTGGTCATCAATTAAAAGTATATCTTCTGTAATCTGAGATAAATAATGAAAACCACACAGCATTTAGCAGACTAGCAGAACTTGACAGCATGTACATTTGCAGTAGACAATGACATTTTAGTAATTATCCAATCTGGGTCAGCATGCGTAGGCTGATTATCCAATCTGGTGTAATTTAATCAGTTTCATATTGCAAAAATGCATACAATTCAATTATCTTCATCTGGAATACTTAATGCAGTAAGGTAGATGAGATGGTCTCATTGAAATTAATCAGATGACGAATAGTCATCACCTTGCTGATTATGCCGATTATCAGAACTAAGATGATTGCCATTTCCTCTAAAATAATATAACCTAAAAAAAAGGAACGTCTTCAGTTTGTAAATATAGGTGAAAAGCACAGATAAACACTTATTTCTGAGTGCCACAAAAATCTTCAGGATTTCTGCTCAACCCAGTATTCTCACATACAAGGCCGAAGATCTGCCCGTCACTTGTGTGTGCTGCAGACCCTGCGGCACACAGGAGAGCGCAGTGAGGAATGAGGAAGTGCAGGCAGACTCCTCCAACCACCTCAGTCACAAGACCCACTGTCCTGAACCAGAGGTGCAGCCCTAATGAACTATCCCCCATACTGCCCCACTAGACCCTCAGGGGAGCTCAGAGACATCGAAGAGCTCTGTACGGGAAACGGAAAGAAACAGGCGCGCGATATCCACTTCAGAAGAAATGCCTTTCTCTGGAACCGCTCGCCTTTAAGATTCAAGATTTAATTAAAAAAAAAAACAGCAAACATTACTACAAATTTTACCAGCATGTAAGTTAAAATTCCTTTTTTTATATAAATCTACAGGAAACCAGACAGAAAATACAGCAGGGAGAGCACCTTTAGGAAAAAAAAGTGTCGTGTCACACTGCGAAGTAGTGTGGATGTTGCGCGGTGTTACTAATCATCGTTGCAGAAGTCCAGGTTTCTTAACAAAGACTAACTTAATGATGAACTTTATGTTTCGATAACCTGCATCTGTCATTTAAAAATTTTCTACCTATTGTTAGAACAGTACTCTGATTCCAGTCTTGACATTATCATGAACACACCTGGTGCTATACCCCGTGGTATGATACATTTGGATACATTTCACTTCAGGAAATAAGTAAGTGGCATTTATAGAATTACAAATGACTTACCCTTAGTCATCTGTAACACCATAAAATAGTTAATATATTAACTGATACGTTCTCTCACATGGCCAGAAACATTTACATACAGGGTAAAATTCAACAACAACAAATACTTTGTTCTTTCACCGCTCTGCAGCTGCAGCTAAAGGATTCATGCATCTCTCTGTACAATAGTAGTTAAAAAAGGTAAAAGGAGCACATCATTTTGTCCGTTCACGATGCAATTCGGAACCAAGACCAAGCGTTCACGTCCACAGTTAGCTAGGAAAGGTAAAAAGCAGAGGCTCAGGGGCTGCGCCCGGCGTGACAGCTTCCTGACGCCGGCGCCCGTGGGGAGCGAGTGCGTTCGCCGCCGGTCCTCGGCCCCCTAGCTCTTCCTCTGGCTCAGGTCCGTGCTCGTCACCAGGCCGGACAGCGAGGTGCTCTCGGACGTGTCGTCTTTCTTCAGCGTTAAGAAAGCCTCGCGGCTGATATTGAGCAGCTCCCTCAGCCCTTTGTTCTCGAGCTGAAAATATGAATTTTGAGTGAAAACCCAGAACAGTACCGTCAGCGCAGCTGGGCATTTATATCTTAGAGCCGGCAGATCAAGGAAACGAGATGAAAATTAATGAATTAGGGCAAGCAAGTGGACTATCAAAGCTGATGTTGTATAGCTAGAAGCAGACTTTTGCATTCTGGTTATGAACAGAAATCACAATAAAAAAAAATCAATAATATTCATTCAGTAACTGTGCCTTAACTCCTGTGTTTTTGTGGAATAATAACATTTACATCAGGTTAGGATTTTGAAAAAAGCATTTTCCATTTCACAGTAGCTTTCAAAATATGTGAAAATCTACATAAATATAATTATATTTATACAGTCTTTTATACAGTCATGTTTAAAAGAAATAAAACAGCAAGTCTCTGAATTCACTCTTGCGGTAAGATTGTGATGTAGTATCTGGTATGATAAAATAAAGCTCTGCATTTTGATTAATGAATTAATTTCGTATGTGGGCTGAGACCAAACATTTATTGCAATTTATATAACAATGAGACCTGACACCTGGGCTTGGGTTCAACAGAAATTTTCTACAGCTCTGGCCAGCAAGACCCTAATTCCTATATTCACTATAGCTGCTCAAGAATTACTTTACTCATTTATTAAATTATGCGTGATTTCAGTTTTTAAGTACATACAGTATTAACTTGTTCTCATTCACAAAATGTAACCTAAATCTCTCAGGATTAACAGATCAGCACTCCTGACAGCGGGGAGTCCTACAGTAATCTGCCTTTCAAAAAACTCTCATCAAAATGGTCTAAACCCCTATTAGGAGCTGAAGAATGGGACTCCTTTTTAAGGAAAGGTGAATACACCAACACCCAAGTAGCCACTCCAGATTTCTCAATATGAGGTTAGGCTCTTACTTTATAGACACATTTCCTTGTAAAGCATAGACCAACAGTCTAAGTGAATATTATGCCTGAAAATTATGGCGTTATTTAGTACAGTGCCTGATTCTGTGGCCTTCTGACAGATTATTTCATGTACACAAACAGAATGAGATAAATATACTGTTTAAAGATCATAAGAGACAAAGTTCATGTTTTCATAATCTGCTTTATGCACACTTTAAAGATTAAATACAAGTTAAACAGAAGTTCGAGTTAGTGCTGCTTCTATTCGCGCTTTTTTGCCAGTATGCTTTATTGTCATTATTTCCTGTACATCTTTATTAGCGCAGAGTGCCGGTCTGCGAGTGATGTGAATACAGGTCAGGAGGAAGCACCTACAGCAGACCCAGCACAGGCAGGAGCTGTACATCCTGCTACTACTATTTGTGTCCTAAAGGCAAGAAGTAACGAAAAACCGTGCGCAAGCCATCAGTCAACAGGAGAGCAGTGAAGAACAATGATCCTGCTATCATTTGCGACAAAAAGATGTGCAGAGGCAGAGAGCGCACTGGTTAATCTCTGCAACCTCCCACTGAATCCAGATTTTCTGCATTTCTGTAGTGGTTCATTTAAAAACACACTCCTTTGTGCATTGTGTACATCACAGTGTATTGAATACCCCAATAAACAACATGTGTTGTTAACAGTGCAGATCAGCTCCTGCTGATAAATGTGGTTTTGGAGAGACTCTGAACTGCTGCTCACACTGGTAGTGTGACCAGTACATACTCTCCCCAGCACTGAGCACAGTTAAATAAATAACCACAAAAACGACCCCTCATTTAAACAAGCGACTGCAATCCTTTAGAGGACGATGTGGGCATTTCATTTTGCTGTCCACTTTTGTTAATAATACGGGCAGAGTTTGCATGCAAGAAATCATTTAAAATTAAAAAAAAAGATCACTTTCAGGGATTGACTTGAACTCTTCAAGGTTTATGATAACTACAAAAACACAATCTGTGTTGCAAGATAAATCCTCAGCAAGAGGAATAACACTGGGGAACCGGCAAAGAATGTTAATGATAAGCACTACATTGTACAATTAAAGATTTTCAAAAATCCATATAGAAACGTTTCAGGAGAGAGTACAGCTGGGGGGATATAGATCACAAACAACTCCACTGCTTGTAAAACGAAATCTGTATTTCATATCGCACAGTCAAAGAAATACAATGAGGCCAGCGGAGCAGTCAAACATGGATCAATGGCTTTGGACAGGGAAGAGCTGCAGCTGCTTCTTCAGGCACTGAACACTCACTTCAAGTTGTCTGATCCGTTCCTCCTCTTCACAGACCCGGTCTTCGTCAAGTTCAATGGCCTTTTTCATCACTGTCGCCATCTCACTGATCTTGTCAATATGAGCTTGCATTTCCTGCAAAGACAGATCTGCCTGATGACACAATTCAGAACGCCACTGGTTACACAAACGAATATCATGATCAATAAAGCAACTATTTCTGAACTACTGTATTACTTCGGAGCACCAAAAAAGAAACTGCTATCACAAGCATATGCAAGAAAGCAGCACTAAAACACACCTGTGCAGAAAGAGAGCAGAGAATAAAATGGAGTAATTGCAAGGGGATTATTAATCCAGTGTACATACAATAGAATACAATGTATTTTTCCAGTGACACCTGAAGAAAGCACCACAGCTACGTACATGAACGTCATCCAGCATGACATCATACAGTATATACTACTTCCAAAACCCCCATCGGTCTCAATGGATGTTATCAAGTCACAAAAACAACCTTTAAGCACTCCAGGTGCCAGCGGGTTTAAGGATCATTTTCTAGACAGTGCTTGACTGTAGGCATCCGGGGCAGCACGGTGGTCAGGTACTTGATTATTCCAGTAAAAAAGCCATCAGTAAAAGTGAATGCCAAGGGTAATGCCTAACAAATGGTTTAAGAAGAAGGTTTAAGAAGCCCGCAGAAAGTTAAAAGTCCTTTAAATCTAACAGTGAATCTGATACTCACGTTGGAATGCTGCTCTTTCAGCTTTGTGATTATGACAGGGTCGTCTTTTTTGCTGGCCATTAACAACCTGAAGACCTGCTCCCTGTATTTGCTCATGATGAGCTCCAGAGCTGACTGGTGCTCCTCCAAAGAAGTGCGCAGTTCTGTGAAAAAGAGCAGACACAGATTTGCAAAGGTACAAAAATGGCTCATACCGACAAGCAGTCTTTTACAATGTACACACAGTGTGGCTTTTTAAAAGCTTTACTTACTGTTCAGTTCTTCTGATGTAGGCCAGGGGGAGGAAATAATCACTAAGCTGACTACTTTGAGTAACTCAGTAAAAGGAATCTGCTAAAGGTACAATCGCAATTTACAATACATCTTTCAGACAATGCTTAATCTTCCCAACTCTTTGCCAACTACTGTTGTTTTCTTGCTAATATTAACAAGAGGTGTGACCCAAGACAACGCCTTTACTTTCACTGGAAGATCATTTTTGTGAACTGAGGACTTCTATCATAGGAGTAAATGGACATTTTTAAGGAATGGACAGGTGGAAAAAATAATGGGATTTCACTTCATCTTAAACTACCCAAAATTGAAGAACTTAACACATCTGAACAATTGAAAGGGTTTGTGTAGCTGCAAAGAAACAAGTAAAAAAGAAGAAAGTTTTATGGCTATTGAGCCTTCTTCAGGTGTGAGGGAGAAAGAGGGAGGACGTAGGGATATAAAGCACAGGAGAACAACGGCAGGTGAGAAAGTGTCCGAAACGCTCAGCAGCTGAAGCCTTGTGCTCTTTCTTTCTGCTGAGCAGCGTGGAATCACCCTTCACTCGGGTCTGAATGGTGCTGACTGCAGCCACACATTTAAATGGAGAGGAAAGAAAAGAGATAAAAAGGTGTGGTTCTCTAAGATACGAATGATTATTCTGCTGATGCGTTTTGTCTCGTGGCACGCGAGTCTCACCTTTGTTCTCCTGCTGCAGGTCTCTGATCTGGCGGTTCTCCTGTTGAATGCCCATGACCAGGGTCGACCGAGGCCGGTGTCTTGCCACCTCGTTCAGCTCTTGGATCTCCTCCTGGTACTGAGGGCAAATCAAAGGTGCATCTCAAAAACCCCTCTTCAGATTTCATCAACATGAATACGCTTTCGTGCACCGAGACGTGGAAATGTATTTAAAGCAGAGAACAGGAGATCTGTCTTTGCCAAAGGGTAGTGGGAGTCTGAAACAAGCCACCCAGCCACGTTGTTGAAGCTGATACTCTGGTTTCTTTCTAGAAACAGCTGGATGAGATCTTGAGGTCAATTCACTACTAACTGTCAGGTGCGCTAGTTGGGCTAAATGGCCTATTCTCACTTGTGGTTGCTCTTATGCACTAGTAGGCACCTTGTGTTATTGCAACAAAGTGATCGAAATCTCTCATCTATTTCTTTGGCATGCATTTCACAAGCACAAAGCTCCTTAACTTCAGACAGTGGTCTGAGAACAGAAATCCACCCCCTTGTTCTTCAGTGATTCACTGTTGCTTCCCGACTTCTGACACAAAATGCATACAGCTGTTTGCCGAAAGGCAGCGTTACCTGTTTCATTGCTTCAACTCGCTTGTTTAGGGAGGTTGTCTGCTCAATCAGCACCTCGGCAGCACTGTCATGGTCTCTCAGCCTGTCCACAAGGGCTTTAGCGTCAGCCAGAACTCTGTCTATCGTACAGCTCATTTCTGCGAAACACGGGGACAAAAGCCATTTGACAACCGTGAAGAGAATACACCCCACAGCAGGTCGAGTGAAGAGCATCCCAGCGATCAGAGGGGGCATGCTCCGAACGCATGATTCCACTGTAAGAAGGAGGAAATCACAACACCGCTCTGAAATAATTCATAGCATAGCAAAATAAGATGAGAAAGAATGGATATACACCACCCTAAGAGAATCAGACCCCCCAGCTTCACCTGCAATACCAATCAACTGGAATCAGGGTGATCACAGAAAGAACTGGTCAGTACCTGGATGGGAGACCTCCTGGGAAAAACTAAGGTTGCTGCTAGAAGAGGTGTTAGTGGGGCCAGCAGGGGGCGCTCACCCTGAAGTCTGTGAGGGTCCTAATGCCCCAGTATAGTGACGGGGACACTGTGCTGTAAACAGGCGATGTCCTTCGGATGAGACGTAAAACCGAGGTCCTGACTCTCTGTGGTCATTAAAAATCCCAGGGCGTTTCTCGAAAAGAGTAGGGGTGTAACCCCGGCGTCCTGGCCAAATTTCCCATTGGCCCTTACCAATCATGGCCTCCTAATAATCCCCATCTATCAATTGGCTTCATTACTCTGCTCTCCTCCCCACTGATAGCTGGTGTGTGGTGAGCGTTCTGGCGCACTATGGCTGCCGTTGCATCATCCAGATGGATGCTGCACACTGGTGGTGGTGGAGGGGAGTCCCCATTACCTGTAAAGCGCTTTGAGTGAAGTGTCCAAAAAAGCACTATATACTAGCAATTATTATTATTATTATTATTAATTATTAACAGACTTTATCGGCCTAATCTGAATTGAGTAGACAGCCTCACCCTTTTTCATGAGAAGGCTGTGGTGTTGTGAATCCTTTTTCTGTTCCATTATTAGAAAGGTCTCTGTAGATGTACAATTTTCAAAACATTGCTGTTGGAGAATTAGGTTTCCAGAGCTATTACAAAGCCTGTGCTTCACAAACACATGTTTTAATTCACAGAACAAGGCATCTGCTAGAGCTGCTCAAGAACAACAACAGCAGCTTTGATGAGCTACATGTAGGCTACTCCAGTCACGGGGACCACAGGAGAATCTCCGAATGATCAACTGTAATGTTGAGACATTCTTGGTTTTACTTTAAAGTAAACATTAACTCTTACGCGCTAATAATAATAATAATAATAATAATAATTGCTTACACTTATATAGCGCTTTTCAGGACACTCAACTCAAAGCGCTTTACAGGTAATGGGGACTCCCCTCCACCACCACCAATGTGCAGCCCCTTCTGGATTATTTATTATTAAATTGTGGGGACTGACATGTAAGAACACACGTCCTAATAGAAGGCACGTTGTTTCTCCGATGCTAGATCGCAGAGAGATTCTCATCCTTCGGTACCATAATCCACTACGGTTTTTATAAGTATTTTAAGGACCATTAAAGCATATCTAAACTATCAGTGGGGCAGAGTTTGGGATTTAAAGAAACACAGAACGCGTACAGTATTCCGGGAATCGATAAGTCGAACCCAACCCCCTGAATCCTGGAATAAGACAAACATACAGCCTGATCTACAGCTACTACCAATGAGCAAACAAGAAGTTTCCCTTATTCTGACACTTAACCGAGGGTTCTGTCCAATGATTTTGTCCGATCACTATCACACGGGCACCATTCATTCATTTTTTTCCCCCAAGGACACGCAGCTGCCGACTGTTTTATAAATCATGAAAATCCAGACCAGAGAACCGATTCGACATCCTCAGAAGTTTTTGGCAGTGTTAAGAAAAACAACGAATGTGTCGACGGTCACCCCTGTTGCACTATGTTCATTATGATACATAAAAGCCCATGTTGAATTAAAATATTTTAATTTGCACAATGGTTTACTCTGAAGTGCAATACTCATGACGCGAACTTCTTTATTTCTAAAGTGATTAATACGTAATCTAGTTTAAATTAAGTGTATCACTAACTGCTGCACCGAATATACAGAACTTCCTAATTAATTTTATAAATGTACACATTCAAACATAAATGCCTACATTAATCAACTATATATTAGGCCTATTAACTTTTCTATTTTTACATATAACACAATTTCAAACCTTACCTGAGAACTCCAGCACCTCTTAGTCCGGAATCTTTTTCCTGTTTATGTAAAGCCTTTCCGGTTGATTGGCGCACGCACACCGGATGCGGCACCCAAACAGACGTCTGGGAATTGTAGTTTATCACACTGTCAGGGCTGCGCTTGGTAACACCAGAGCAGAAAAAGTAAACCTCTCTGTGTTTTTTTAAAAAGACATATAATGTGGTTATCGAGGATATTATCTTCAAAATTTTTAATTAATTTGATTAGTTTCTTTACACGGTGAGGTCTGAAGCTAAAACATTTCACTGACTATACTGTACACTAATCTGTAGGGTTTTCTGTTGTAGTTTTCAGATCCCTGATACATAGCCTTTCTCCCCCATAACAGTCACAAAATAGACTCCAATTAAAAAATAATTACGTTTTATTTGGGTAGTATTGAAGTTGAAACACTATTCACGATATTTTTAACATTGTATACACTGTACTGTACATACGTAGTTCAAGTAGGGAGCTGCATCAGCAGGCGTAGGCTGCAAAGGAACAAGCCAAGCTTTATTCCTGCTGAAAAGAGCACACCTGAAGAAGGCTACACAGCCAAAGCACTGTGTTTCTTTTCTTCTCTTTTAAGCAAGGAATAAACCTTTACTTCTTCATTTTCTGCAAGAGATGCAATTGGTCGCTGGAGATACAAGATGCTGTCTGGGTGATCCGGAATTGTCCTGAGGGGCCTTGAATGAGTGTGGTGTTAGATGTGTTCTTGCAGGTGATACAGCTCTGTTGCAGGGGAATATACCTGGTGTGGATGGCTGGTGAGGGTGGTCAAGGGAGCTGTGAACAAGAAGGTTACACAGATGAGGTGGTCGGCGATATGAGATGATGTGGCGATCAGAAAAGAGGGCCCCAGTGGAGGGATCAGCCTGTAGGATAGGAAAGTTGTTGTTAACGGTCCTGGGGATGGAGAGTGTGTTACGGAGGAAGGGAAGCACCAAAGGAATGGCCGGGGGTTCCTGATCGAGTTGATGGTCCGAGGGCTGTTTTTCGCTCAGGTGAGGACCCTGTCAATAACACGGGTGGGGTATCCTCTGTTGATGAAAAAATATATTTTTCTGTATAAAAGACTTCTGTTTAGCAAAGATTTAGAATCAGATATTGTACAAAATACCTAAAATAAGTAATACAATCCCCAGAGTTGTATGTCATAATCCAGCATACGACAATATTAAATAGTGACTACATATTCAGCTAAACAAACAGCTACTCCATTAATCAAAACCAGAACCTTTTATAGTGAAAGAAACTCTAAAGTCATACAACTAAGAATTCATACAATTATCATTCAGCTAAGAACATGTTCTCTCTTACAATGATGACCTGGCTGGGAAACACACACCACTGTTGCACAGAAGAAAAAAATAACATAGAAATAAAGAGAACAACCGGTAAAAAATAAATTCTAAACATGTGCAAGTGTCAGGCAGAAAAAGTCGAAAATGCTGCATTTAAATTGAATTTGTACTTGCACTGGTACATTTTATTTTACAGTCAATGTTTTATTGTACAATAAGGTACAGAAGTGTCTCCTGGGTATAAACAAATCAGTGGCATCTGTTTTGATTCTCTCTCGGTCCTAATGAGTCTGCACAGAGCACAGAGGTTTCTCGGACCAGGCTTAGCAGGAAGTGTTTACACGACAGGTGACAAACGACCAGCACCCAGCTCAACACAAGCACATCCTGTGCTTCTCACCTTTCTCTTCCGATGTGTTATTAGCTCAAGGTTTTAGCATTTATGAAAGCTGGGTGATTTTTAACAAGATGTCACGATTATAGTCCCCCCTCCTTAAGGGTGCTCCAGCCCTTTCACTTTAGACTTAATTCTGTGCACCTGATCCCTTTTCCCAGCCCACCTTAAAAGCCAGGCGCTGACGCTCATCCTGGCTCTGCATCTGGTTTCCGCACCGTGCGAGTCCGGGACCTGGAAGGTCCCGGTCCCGGTCCCAATTCCTAGTTTGGATGGATCACCTGGCTATGGACTTATTCTTGTGTTTTTGGATTCCCGCTATGGATTGCTTTTGGATTGTTTGCCTCGGCCACACCTCCCCCGTGCACCAGCGCACTTTGGACACGCCCCCCTGTTTTCAGCCCCGTATCCCTGCATGACGTTTTCCTAGTGTTTCCCCACTTCTTCGGATTGTGTCGTCCGCATAGGGTCCGGAAAGAACTGTTCGTTACACAAGAGGTTTTCTTTTTTGGGGGGGGGGGGATTTCTTGTCTTGCAAATGGAGAACTAAAAAAAAACAACACAAATAGCCTCAATAAGACCAAAACCTTCATGACCCAATCAAGTAGCTGAGTGTCCCTAAATCCTGATTCTTATTTAATTCCACACCCAATCTCTAAATTATAACTGAATAATCAACTTCATCTTTTAACAATAGAAAATAGACATAAGGATTAGACATTAGCTTTAGCTACAATTGATGCTAGGAGTTTGAATACATCTCATATAATGACATTCAGAGGTTTTAACAACGAAGAGTGCCGAAACTTTTAGACTATTCAAAACTTTACTGCAACCGCTAGAGATATTGCTCATTTAAATTAAAGTGCGCAAATTTAAAAATGTCATCCAGGGTCATCCAGAAAAAAAACTCCATCATTTTACACTGGAATAAATTAGGAGAAACCAGAATGTCAGGTCTTAGTTTACACCTACAAGAGTCTAGAACAGGTCCAGAATCCAATCCGGAATGTCTTACAGGTCATCCTAAATCACCCATTTTCATGGATCTGGAACATGTGATGGAGGTGAGTGTCCCATTAGTGGACACTGGAGAGACAAAATGAAGGCAGACAGCTGAATCAAGTTGAATAAGCATAGCGTAGGCAGAACAGTTTTGGGTATTAGAAGCACTCAAGGTTAATAATTTCTCAAGGCCTGATGGTATTGATAGCCCCACCAACTGTCCCAAGGACACGAGAACTGTTATACTGTATGTAAGACATTGACCCTTTCAACACCTTCTGAAGACAGAGGTAGTACTGTGGGGCTGGGGAATTGCTCACTGACAAAAGGGGTGAGAAAACTTATCAAAATTCTAGGCCAAAACGTTAACTACAGTTACATGCAAGGTAATGGATACAAATATTGCGCCCTTAAGGAGGGGGGACTATAATCGTGACAACGTCGCCAGGTGGCTGAGTGCTGCCGAGGGTGGGGTGGGGTTAGTAAAACAGAGCTCTCTTGGCTCTCAGTGGCACAGCGCCCCCTGCTGCAAGCCCGTGGCACTCGCAGGCGAGGGACGCTTCTCCCCTCCAGTCAGAGCTGCTCCTGCAGGGTTGTGGGCGGGAGGAGAATGTCTACTTCCTCACTCTTTCCTGTGTGCGGTCACAGGGTCTGTACCCGCAGGCTGAGAAGTGAAAGCACACAGCGAGCTATTCCAGATCAGATGGGTATAACAAAAATAATTGGTGAATCGAAGAAAGTTATCAAGAAAATTGGAGAAAGTATTGTAGCGCCCTCGCCTGGCGGTGAGGAGGAAGTGCACCCAGTTGCCGAGGGTATCGTAGCACCGGCTGGGAGTTGTAGCCGGGGAGAGTCCGGGGGTCCGTAAGATGACCAGCTACTGACCCTGCTATGTAAATAGACCTGTGTTAGCCGAAGTGTTCTCTGAAGCTTAGTGTTCCAGAAGTGAAGTGTGTAGAGTCTGTTAAGCCAAAAAAGATCACTTTACACAAACACTCCTCCTCAAATACATTGAATTCTCAGGTGTTGTTATTCCTCGTGAAATAAGAAATTGTAGAGTGCAGCAAGAAACCTCTTTGAGTTGTCAATACTTATTAAAAATAGCGAACATGTTTAGATCTGTATGTTGGAATGATCATCAAAAATTAATTATTTTCTTTTGCTGTAAACAAATGCAAGTGAACTGTAATCTTGTAAGAAATAGATGGTAATATACGGAAGTAGTGGAACAAGGAGCGGTGGCTCTGTGGTTACGGATCTGCGCCTGTGACTAGAAGGTTGCCGGTTCAAATCCCACAGCTGGCAGAGGAATCCTACTCTGTTGGGCCCCTGAGCAAGGCCCTTAACCCCACCTGCTCCAGGGGTGCTGTACAATGGCAGACCCTGCATTCTGACCCCAAGCTTCTCTCCCTGTCTGTGTCTCCATGGAGAAAAGCTGGGGTATGTGAAAAGATGAATTCCTAATGCAAGAAATTGTATAGGGCTAATAAAGAAATAAATAATAATAAAGGTTTATACCCTGCTGAAAAGAAACACAATGTTTCTGCTGTTGAGCCTCACACCTGAAGAAGGCTCCACAGCTGAAACATTGTGTTTCTTTTCTTCTCTTTTCAGCAAGGAATAAACCTTTACCTGTTCCTTTGCAGCCTACACATGCTGATGCAGCTCCCTACTTGAACTGCTATGTAAATAGTGGGCAGGACATAGGCACCATGGTTAACATTCCTGCCTCATAGTGCTGGGACCGTGGGTTCAATTCCTGTGGAGATATCTACGTGGAGTTTGCATGTTGAGATTTTTCGAGGTGCTCCAGTTTCATGCATGGCTGTGTTTGTGTCTGTGTGTGCCCTGTGATGGATTGGCGTCTCATCCGGGGTGTATCCTGCCTGTCACGGACGTCCAAAGGGACTAACCGTGGAGAGCAGGAGAGCGGAAAAAGACCCATATGCGTAGCGGCGGAACGGGAAAAAGGCCCGGGCTCATTAGTGCAAAGAGTTCAGGAGTGCCATATAGAAACCTATGCCCTCAGGGAGCGGACGTGGGGCACCCTGGTGCTAGGTGGGTCTCAGGACATCCGAACGTCAGTGCTGAGCGAGGGCAGAGTGCAAGACCCGGAAATATATAGCCCAAGGGAAAGAGAGGGGCCGGAAGGCCAGCCAGGCAGGAAACTAGGGACAGGACAGAGTAGGAGCGCCCTCTGGCTGCCGAGGGCATGACACTGCCTCGCACCTGTTGCTTGCTGGAATAAGCTCTGGCTCCCCTGCAACCCTGAATTGGAAGACGCAATTAGTAAATGGAGTAAATTCCAGATTTACTAAACATAAAATTGAAGTGTTGTTTTATATGTGTTTTTTGATTCA